AAGCATACATGATCTTTTACTCGATGGCAGAGATGCATAAATGTTCAGGAGTCACACTTCGATTAATTTAAACTTATGAAGCATTAAATTTTTCATGAAAAAATGTTTGTTTCTGAAATCGGTCAGTATTTCCCGAACAGCTCAATACCTCATGACCTAAACGTTTATTCTTTTCCGTTCGCTCACATGGATAACTAGTAAGTCGTCTAAGCTGACGGAAATGGAAGCCCCATAACGGAGCTGGGATAAATTTTGTCCTTCGCCTCGTATTGGGCAGTTTTGGGCTTTTGAAAACAGAAACACACAAATGTCGCACGGTTTTTATTGTGCACCAGGGGTCCACCACCGCTCTTCTGTGCTATTTTTCGCTGTCCTGACCGATTGCACGATCGATAATTATCAGCCTACGATGAGTGCACCTATGCACACCAAGACGGAGTTCCTCTTTTTCGCCGACCTACTTATTGATCCGCACGGTCAGTTAGTGCCTCACCGCGGTTAATCGACTGATCGAAAGAATGGCCATTTGCAGCGCATTTCGAAATTGGACAGTATCCAAAACTGCCGGGAACGCCCAATCGCCGATCACCTTGTTCTGGCGGTTTTTTAACACGTCTTCATTGAAGCCTATCGGATTTAAGTTGATGTGATCTAAAAGTTAAGTCCTGGAGTGCGCATGCACGAGTGGATGCCTTCGAGATAGCGCCAGACTCTTAGTGGCAGCGTTATCTGAGGTTAGCCTTTCACTGATCGCATCAGGAGGACTGACGCGGCCATTAAATAGAGTTGCATCCTCGCTCTTCCCGCCTACAGTGTCTCATCTTGATATCGTTTTTTTTCTTCTGTTTGCATGTCATTCCTCAACCCCTGTGTCGCCCATCAATGCACCCTCATCCTCATCGACTCTGTCGTTGTTGCATGCAAACACGTACTTGCCTTCCGACCTACGAACAGCCACTGATGAACAGCATGGCCTACGCAAGCATGACATTGCCGCCGCTGTCCCTCGCTTTCTCTCATCTCCTCTGAACCGTTCCGTCTTTTCTTTTCGCATTTTATCGACTTGGTATTCCTGTTTCCCCTCTGTCATCTATCCCGAAATGCATGCTATGTGTATTTGGTTGAATTTGAGGTGTTTTTAGTGTTATTTTTTTACTCAAATTCCACGGTGCTGTCGTTTGTCAGCGCGATGGGACATGGGCTGGGCCTGTCTAAGTTATCATGGCGAAAAATTCAGAAGTGGTCCTTTCGCCGTTTCTTCGTATTTATTGAAGCATGTTCAATTTAAGCATCACGGGAATTCCTTTGGCCCCTTTACACTTTTACCTTCGGATTTTGAACAGGCACGTAGTCATTTGGGAATGAGTGTTCACTAGTGGGCTGGATGTAGACAGAACAACTCTGAAACAGTTCCGTATCCCTATGACCACATTCTTTCGTCGTCCTTTCTGACATGAAGGACCGTTTATTTGCGTTAAATAGTATGATAATGTGTGGGCTGGGTGTGTGTTGATTACTTATGTCTCTGCAAGTCATCATTCTATATATGATCAGGCAAGTTTTTGCGATTTTTACAGAACTGAATGGAACGCCTTCTGGACTCACAGGTCTAGGGTCTTCCCACATAACGGACGCTGCGTTCTTTTGGCGCTTTGCCAAAAACTTAGATGAGAATCTTGACGGAAATCTTCTGGGTTTCTTTTAAAAAGTTACTGATAATCGAGTGGTGTTGCGCGACCATACACGCACTAAATCCCCCACATAGGTATCCTGTCAAATCCTTGCCCGCGGTTTAATCCCACCTCTCCTGGGCAGTGTCTTACATCTTTCTCCACTTTCGAGTCGAGCTATTTGCCGCTGAGACCATAAAAATAAGATTTTTGTGGAAAATACCCTGGTTGGGCACGGGAATACGAACCCC